CAGGCAAGTTTGGGAACCACTGGCTTGACTCAGAATAAAGTCTCAGTAACCACACAAAGCATTCCCATCTTGGACCTCCAGGGGCTCTCCGTGAATGGTTGTGGGCCACCACAGCAAAAAGCCAATCCTAATCAGGCTGTGCGTGATGCTTCCTCCTTAGAACATGTAAAAAAAACAAACAAAAAAAACGATTTCTATTACAAATGTTGAGTAAGTAGAATGTGAATTAATGAATTTTTTTATTGTAATACATCAGTCCTAAAATGTTGTTTCACAGTACAGGTATGCTGCCTAAGGTATAAAAATAGGGGCTGAGTCTTTAAAAATAAAAAAAGTCACTGAAGTGCTACAGAATTCCCTATGAAGCTTTTGCCACTTCACCTTAGCCTCCCTCCACCAGAACCCAAACCTGGCTCTTTTCTAGTGTTAAAAAGTGAACATTTCTCTGCATTTTCCTAGAAATCTTTTTCTATAAATTAGATACAACAGATATGTTTTATTGAATAAATGGCATTTTAGTAAGAAAGCTCTTTTAAAATTATCTCATTCTATTAAGGTTTTAATAAGGAAAACTAATATTACAGAGAAGTATCCAATAGAAGCCGCAGCCAGTTGGGTCTACACAGTAGGATTTGGAAATAGGCAAATTCAATTTCACCAAAGAAAATATATCTGGAGTGACAACATTTTCTTTCAGATAGAAAGTGACTGTGTTGGGGGAAAGGAACAGATCTCTTCTAGATTGAAAATGGGTGCTACAAACACTATAAAATTTGTAACTGTTCGATTCCTGCATTTGGCAGTCAGACAGCGACTAATTTGGTTTTATTTTTTAATTCCAGTGATTATGAGGTCTGCACATTCCCTGTGGAGTAACACACTCTCGTCTAGGGCCAGAACCCAGTTTTCCTTTGCCAAACGCATGTGGCACAGACCTATAGCTGACAGGTGGCTTTTCCTTGTTTTTTGTCTGAGAAAGAAGCAATGGAGTCACAGTTGATTTTCTGAGTCCAGGACTTTACAACCCTGCTATCTGAGCATTTTCAGGAGACAGATAAGTGTTTCTGACCATGTGTGATTCAACGGTCCCCTTCCCTTCCAGAGCTACCTGTTATTCATCTAAGAACCTGCATTACTGACCACTTGTCTAACAGATTCAGAAGGTCTGCACCAGATGCAGAAGCAAGAAAGAATGCATTAGATGTTTGGCTGCAAGTAGTAGAGTGCCATGAAGGATTGATTAATTAGTCTGGCCGTTGTGTGCAGTGGTTGAGCATGAGCCAAGAGGTCACCAGTTTGATTCTTGGTCAGGGAATATGTCCATCCCCAGTAGGGGGCATGCAGGAGGCAACTGACCAATGATGTTTCTCTCTCATCAGTTTTTCTATCTCTATCTTTCTCCCTTCCAGTCTCTCTAAAAATTAATGAAAACATATATTTAAAAAATAATTGATTAAACATTAAGGAAAGCTATTATCTCGTATTAGAACTTCAGTGGTAGAGTGGCACCAGTCAATAGTGTTGGTTAAGTTGGTGACATAATTACTCTATCAAAGACACAAATGATTTTTATCTTTTTTTTCTATTCTCAGCATATTGGCTTTATTCCTTAGACTTGCCTCTTCATGGATACAGAATGGCTGCTGCAGTTCCTCACATCATTTTTGTACACATCAAAGTTCAAAGGCTGACGACAGCATATCCCTTCTCTGTCTCTTTTTTAAGAATGAAGAACACTTTCCTAGGATTTCACAACAGGCTTATTGTTGCTTTCATTGACCAGAACTTTATAATTTTCTTTTTCCTAAAACATTAGTCCACCTATCCATATAAGTTAGACTTTCCAGCTAACTGAGACAATTTTGTTGCAGAGTTCAGAAAGGAACTTGAAATTTGCATCCCTACTAGCCCTCAGAGATTATGGTTGTTTTTTTCATAGCGCTAAATTATTATTCTCCCTTAAATAGTTGCCTATAGTGTTTTGCAGGTGGCTGTTTCTTCATATGAAACAAAGCACTGAATTTGTGTATGTGGGTATAGATATGCACAAGTCATATGCACTGCTTTAACAAAATCCTCACTTACCAGAGCTTTTACAGGTTACTTGGTACCTTTGTAGGTTTATCATTGTTTGTATGGAGAATAATACAATAATTAATAATTGCTACAAGAATAAACTGTGCTTCACATACAACCATAAACTACTTTTGCCCCACCCTATATTATCAATAATTCTTTCAATTGGCAAAGCAAGTAAATTAGACTGCTGTTCATTTGGAGCAGGAGGCAACTTTGTTGGTTTAATATATGCAATTAAATTGAGTTGAGATCTACTTTAAATGAAAATTGAAAACAAATTAAGTAATCAGTCAATGCAGTTTTTATAGTTACAATTCTTATTTATTTGGGTAAATTGAGAGAAAAAGCTGTTCAGCATTGTAGGCATTTTATTTTAATCAAGGGGAACTAGAAGTAGTGAGCTGGCAACATTTAAAATTGACTGTAGAATATGACAGAATGATTATTTGTGCCTGTATTTGTATGAGCCCTACATCTGTTCCCAAAGATCAAGCTTAATCATGGCATATTAGTATCCACTTATGTTGGAATAGGCAACCTCAAGTTTAGCTAATAAAATTCACTTGTAGTTTTTAAATTTATCTTATTAACCAGGCCTAGGGCCTTTTAATTTGACATTTGAAAACCTTTGTATTAATAGTAACTTTTTTAGATCCCGGGTTCTTAAAAATTGACATTTGTAAAGTGAATGCGCATCTTTTTCGCTCTTATTACAAATGATTTCCTTAATTTTATGAATTGGGGATGGCTGCCAGTGACTTACTTTCATCAAAATGATGATGTTGAGAGAAAAAATTATTGATGTTTCATATTTAGTTAGATTTTTTTAATTTATACTTAGAGTTATTAGTCCTGTTTTGGGTTTTGTATTCAGGCAAATTAGTGCATATGAGTCATCTGAATATTCTTGGGTCTCTGGTTAAAGTCTAAATTCAACCATTACAAGGATATGATATTTTATGAAGTTTAAACCCTGAGCCATATTTTTTCAGAGTTAACTACATTGATTCAGATTTTCAAGGTAGTTCTCATTCAAGTTTGATAGAAATATCACACCCCGCTATAAATTACATCCTGTTTAACACAGTAGTGAAATTCCGATGAGCTATGAATTAATTTTCTTTCCCTCTTATCTCTTAAAATTATTTTTATCTTTTAAAAAAGCCTCAGACTTTCTAGTATCTTTCTAACCTATTTTTGTATTAAAAATTCAATTAAGTAAGCATGGGGAATATCAGCCAAATTTATTCATTGGAATTTAATTTCTTCTCTCATTAATTTGGTAGGTGTATCTTTTGCAACTTGTAGATACTGAAATTATTTAGTACATATAACTTTTAGGACTCTTGGTTGCAAGTGATAGGAATGCTATGTAAAGTGTTTCAGCATAGCAGAATTTACTAGCTTACATAATGGCACAACCTTGGCAATTCCTGCTTCAGGCATAGCTATATCCAGTGGCTCAAACAGGCTCAAGAGTAATCTTTGTCTTCAACTTTCTGCATTGCTTTCCTTTGTGTTTCCTTCTTTTCCTGACAAACTTCTTCCTTCTTGTAGCCATAAGCACCAGCCAGCATCCCTACATGCTGGAAACTGCAAGTCCAACAAAACCAAAGATTTTTAATCTGTGCAATCTCAGTAAAAAACGTGAAATTAAATCCTGTGCCATTCCAAGGCAATCCCATCCCTGACCCAGGCTCTGGGAGGAGAATGTATCAGTGGTGGGTGAAGTGTGGTCCCTAGAGAATGCCCAGCAACAGCACCTGAGATTTTGTTATAAATACATACTCTCAGGTCCCATCCCATACCCAGTGCATCTGAAAATTAGAAAGTAGGGCCAGCATTCCTGGTAGCAACAAGTCCTCCACGTGGTTCTGATGTACTCACTGGCCACACTTGTGTCCTGTGTGCTGCCCCCGGAGCTTCCGTGTAACTTTCACAGAAAACTCAGATTCCGTGTAACTTTCATAGAAAAGAGCTCTGAGAAAGTGGCCTCAGAAACGCAGAACGGTAGCTGCCATCCACCATGAATTCCAGCCCAATAGTAAAGTGTTGTACTTCTAATGCCATTATTTCTCAGAACACTGCTGATTATGGATTCCCTTCCAGGAAATCAATATTCTAATTAAGCAAACACTTGTCTATCCTCTTCTAAGTTAGAGTGTTTTAGTTTAATTTTCATCTCCAAATAGGTACATGGCCAATCTTGAAAGGTTTCCAGACCGTATTATTTTCTGATCAAATGCTTCCTGACCTCTTAGGATATCCTCCACTAGAATTAAAGCCCTCAAAGTGAACCTTTTCACTCCTGGGTGATAAATGAAATGAAAGGCTTACTCTGCTTCACAATTTCTCAATGACAATGGCAGTGATGCTACAGAATTTAAAATAATTTTAAAACATTTTTAAAGCACCTAATAATGGAGATGAATTTAGCTTTTTATATTACTTCAGAGTGTTGAGTGTGTGTGTGTGTGTGTGTGTGTGTGTGTGTGTGTTTCTTACTGTGGTTTGGGACATTTGCATTTATCCTGGAGAAGGCAGTAGAGAGCATGTGGGTATTTCTCAATTTATCTAATCATAGGACTCCCCAGGGCACTTGTTAAAAGTAAAGATCCAAAGACTTTTTTTCAGGATATTCTTATTTGGGAGGTCAGGAATGGGGACAAAGAATTTATACTAGTATTTTTTAAAATTGTCACAGGAATTTCTTAGAATCAAGTATGCTTGGAACATACTCTACGACAATGTGAATGGTAATGGTAAGGATGTTTCAATGGATTGGTAGGGGGTCAAATCCTACTAGAGGAGTAAATCACATGACCTCATCAGGTGGTCAAATACTTCTCTTATGTTTGTTGCCATTCTTTCCCTTTTCTCTCGAATAATGCGCTGTTGCATTCGTATCCCTTACACTGCAGATCGAGGACATGCAATGGGGTAAAGGAGTCCGGGAGATCCCCCACTCCGTGTGTACTCTGCCCTGCAAACCTGGCCAAAGAAAGAAGACCCAGAAGGGAACCCCCTGCTGCTGGACCTGCGAGCCTTGTGACGGCTACCAGTACCAGTTCGATGAGAATACGTGCCAGCATTGCCCTTATGACCAGCGGCCCAATGAGAACCGGACTGGCTGCCAGGATATCCCCATCATCAAGCTGGAGTGGCATTCCCCCTGGGCCGTCATCCCCGTCTTCTTAGCGATGCTGGGCATCATCGCCACCATCTTTGTCATGGCCACTTTCATCCGCTACAATGACACGCCCATAGTCCGGGCATCTGGGCGGGAACTCAGCTATGTTCTGCTGACGGGCATCTTTCTCTGCTACATCATCACTTTCCTGATGATAGCCAAGCCTGACGTGGCGGTGTGTTCCTTCCGGAGAGTGTTCTTGGGCTTGGGGATGTGCATCAGTTATGCAGCCCTCTTGACAAAGACCAATCGGATTTATCGCATATTTGAGCAGGGCAAGAAATCAGTGACAGCGCCCAGACTCATCAGCCCGACATCACAGCTGGCCATCACTTCAAGTTTAATATCAGTTCAGCTTCTAGGTGTTTTCATTTGGTTTGGCGTTGACCCACCCAACATCATCGTAGACTATGATGAACATAAGACAATGAACCCCGAGCTGGCCAGGGGAGTTCTCAAATGTGACATCACAGATCTGCAAATCATTTGCTCGTTGGGATATAGCATTCTTCTCATGGTCACATGTACTGTGTACGCCATCAAAACTCGGGGTGTCCCAGAGAACTTTAACGAAGCCAAGCCCATTGGATTCACTATGTACACGACATGTATAGTATGGCTTGCCTTCATTCCAATTTTTTTTGGCACCGCTCAGTCAGCGGAAAAGGTAAGTGAAAATGCACCCCACATCATGCATTTCAAATGTGTTCATTTTTGTAAAGATGGAAACCAAGTTAATTGTAGAGAGCAAGAGGTTTTATATATGCAGAATGGTATTCCTAAGAGTAGAGAAAGCCAACATGAGCAGCATCAAAGCTACAAAAGTCTACAACCTACAGGAAACTTTGCTATACTTATGCCACTTGGAACCAACCAGTGGTAGCCTTTTCCAGTTACTTTATTATAGAATTACTCAATGTAGCAAGAGATTATCCAGTATGAAATAATCTATTCAAAGTAATCCTTCCTATAATTAATTTTCCACTCTCTCTATTTACACACATATTTCTGATGGACAGGAGAAGGGGGCCACAGTTCCTCATCCTCCAGGATAAGGATGGTCATTCCTAGCTCGCTCGCTCTCTCCTCAGTGGCTCTTTAGGTTGTCAATGTGGATTGGATCTAGTACATGAGCTATACAAACTATTAAAGTTGCTCAATTGCATGTTTGTGGGAATGGAGATATATATATATCATCATGTACCTCTTAACTGTGGGGATACATTCTGAGAAATGTGTTGTTTGAGTTGTTAGGTATATTAATCACATCAAGTGCTTCAGAGTGATACCAGAGACTCAAATTTGTACACACACAGTAGAACAAGTATCTTCAAACTGTGAAAGTTCAAAGTTTTTAAAATTAGTGGGCCCTAATATGTTGGTCTTAAATATAGTCACTGCACATGATCCCCACGTATAATTATAAGTTTTTATGCTTCTGAAAATTAAGCAGCCCTAATGTGTTGATTCTTAATGCAATTCATGTATGACTAGCTGCAGGTTCGACTGACTTGCATGCAGATACGGCAACACTAAGGTGATGGTTTTGTGTGTATGTGATTCGTACACATCTGACTTCTATACCCACCCCCATCTGCCTATAATTTTGTGTATATGCAAATTTGGCAATTTGAATATATTGATCTTAAGATGTGGTTTCCTTCACTCAGTGAAGGCAGTCTGACATGTTGATATAACTGAAGCCAGAACTGAGACCCAGAGTCCTTGCTTGAACATTCTGTAGGAGAAAGCATAGTTATAGTTTGATTAGAAGCTAGGATGTTGGGGGTTCAGCCTGATCCCATGTTATTTTGGAGAAGTCTCTTAAACATTCAGGGACTTAGTTCCCAAAGTGGGGCAAACAAAGAGTGAAACAGGACTGTCTACAGATTTCTTAATCTATTAGTTGAATCTGATATTTTATTGTTACTTCTGTTCTCTGTTTCATTGTGAAAAAGGATTAATGGTATTTTTCTGGTTTTTCAACTAAAAATGTCTTTTACCTATATTGTTTGATTCAAAAGCTATAAGTTTAGACTGCATTTTTTAAAGTGAACATCTCATGAAACCATGCAGAATTCTAAAGCTAAGGACAGTGAATGGTTCCAGATTACGGTTTTAGTCATAAAGTGCCTCGAAGGAAGTTCTAAAATGTATGCTCAATGAGCATAATATGTATCTGATGGTATGTTTCATATTCATAATGCATGTTTACTGTCTGTGAAATCAACTTGACTTTTGTTTTATTGCGTCTATCTATCCCTGAGCCAAGGGGGTAGTAAAATATGAGTCAGGGTAGTGAAAAGCAATAGAGAGAAGAAGGAAAAAAATTCTCCAAATGTATCCAGGTAAGTCCATAACCATTGAACTTTTTATGGGGCATGATGTGCATCATCCAAGCCTGTGGAGGTAATGATCATTTTCTTATGAAAACAAACATAGTTCCCCATGCAAGAGGTTAGGAAACATTAAGTCCTTTTCTTAACAATTTATTCTTGAGGAATATAAAAGGGAAGAATAACTGTGGTTGTTTTATAGATGAGCCTTTTTGTAATGCATGTTTGACGATCTACTAGTATGTCTCTACCATGTCATTTACCATTTCTATCCATTTCCAGTTATGACTATGAATCTTTTCAGGAAGGTTAGGGGGTATAATTTACTCATTAAAAAACCTGTAAATAATACAAAATTTTAGAAATTAAATTCATGTATTCTGGTTGTTCTAGTAAATATGCTGGTAGCACTGGACTACAGGAAAAATGAAGCTTTCTTCAAGCAATGAGCTTTTTAATCCTAGAGTTTAGACGGCACATATTCGTCTTTGTACACCCTCAGTGGGTTATGGTGCTCTACATGGTTGATTGGCACAAAGGTACTGAATTGTCAAATGGGAATAGTGATTTGTTATGTGAAAATGCACACACCTCAATAATAGGCACATAACTAGACAAGCATGAGTGATCAATTAAAAATACTGGGTGTTTCAAAAAAATGTATACACACTTTACAGCTCAATTTTGAAAAATGAAATATGTTTTAATAAACACTGCCTTTATAACTATTCAAAGTGTATGTATACCTTTTGGGGACACCCTATATTTAATGGACATAAAACCATGGACTTTAAATTGTGGAAGGTGACAAACTGCCAAATGCAGCAAAGAGGTCACAGCAAAAGGCATTCTTACCAAGCTAGCAAACATAACCCCTCCTTTTTTGTTTAGGTTTGACAGTTTTGTTTCAAATTGAAACATTTTATTATAATGGGGGGGGGGCAATTAGGCAGTGAATTCAGTAATAACTATTTACTGTTTCAGGAAATTTAATTTATTTTGATTATGCTATGTATATCTTTGTGAAATTTCTCATCCGTTGAGTTTATTAGCACAGCATAAAGTATGAGGAATGTTCCTTATTTCTTGCAAAACATCAACCTCCATGGTTTATTTTTCCTCTTGTTAAGGAAGATGCTATCTTGTTTTATTTGTCTTTGCTAACCCTGTACCCTCTAGGACAGTGATGGCGAACCTTTTGAGCTCGGCATGTCAGCATTTTGAAAACCCCTAACTTAACTCTGGTGCCGTGTCACATATAGAAATTTTTTGATATTTTCAACCATAGTAAAACAAAGATTTATATTTTTGATATTTATTTTATATATTTAAATGCCATTTAACAAAGAAAAATCAACCAAAAAAATGAGTTCGCGTGTCACCTCTGACACGCGTGTCATAGGTTCGCCATCACTGCTCTAGGATGAGTATCTCACAACATGGCTGGGGAGGAAAGGTGTAAGCCTAAGCCGTAAAAGAACCATTCCTGGCTGTAGAATTTATATTTTAGGTGACTAATGATTCTTGGGAAGATCGCTAGTGGTAGGGCAGTAGCACAGTAGGAGCTAGTTGGTTTAGTGAGCTGTGGTAATATCCCATTGTTAAATAGTGACACTGTTTGTGGAGGACTGGATTATTTTTCCTTGAGAAACAAAGGCTTGGCTTGCGGATACATCTATTCGGAGAGTTTTGCATGCCACCTGGAAAAGTAGCACCTTCAGGTCGGGAGGACATAGGCCACCCAGCCCAAACCTGAGACACCCTACAGATGCCGTGTTTATTCAGAACTTTCCAGGTTCTTTTTTTTTTATTATTATGAAAGTCACATTTCTTTTTTAACCTTTTACAAGTAGCATGTAAATGAAGGAAAAGGACTCCCAATACCCCATCCTAGAGAGACTCATTGTCAACAGTTTGACGTCTCTACTTCTAGATGTATAAATATGCACATATTCCCACACATTCACAAACTTATTTTTAAAAGAAAAATCCGTATTTTTCCTTCTGGGGTGCATCAAAACACAGTGGAGAGAAATGTTCCGATCCATAGTTTATCTGAGGCTGTGCACCCATGCTCTGATGGGCATGGAGACTGGTGGTTGAGATCTTACTTCTGTTGTTTACTTTGTCTGTTTCTGGTTATATCAGTAGCATATGAAACCATCTCCTTTCTGCTTCCTGCTGTGATCTTGGTGGTAACTTCTCTCTAAACAGCCCTCTGAAACCAGCTGGTATTAGCCAGAGCCTTTTGGTGGTGCAGTCTGCCTTGATCCCCTTATGATGTATCAGCTAAGTTCCGCTGCAGTCACCTAGGATAGTTGGAGCCTTCATCATCTTAGTCTCTTCCTTTAGCACGAATAACTAGTTCAGCAGGTAAAAACCAAGAGCTTGCATAAAACTGAACAGAGCTAGGATAAGGAAAGAGCTTATGACATTAAAACAAAGGTCTTGACCATTTGAGATTTGAACAGAGTTGCTCCAACGAGAGAAAGTTCTGCTAAAAGGGAAGATTCAACAAGAGACCTTGACTCTGCCCCCAGTTGGGGTGCTCCCTGGAGCACACTTTTCCCATTAGGTATTTTCCACTTTGAGAATTCAGCCACCAAGAGATCCATCCTTAGGGACCCAGGCCTCACCTTTAGAACTAATACCAGGATCATCAAACAAACCTCTGTCCTGTGGCATTTACCAGTGCATCAGAGACCACCTATCATTTTGAGAAAGAACTTTTCTCAAAGCACAAGAAACCTTGTCCTAGGAGCTGGCCTCATGCCTATCCTCCTCATCATTCTATGGTGCTCTGAACCTAAACATATATATATTTGGATGTGTCATCCTCCTGGGTTCTTTGATTTTGATGATGGCTTCACAGATGAATACAGTTATCAAAGTTGATCAAATTGCATACTTCAGATATGTGTAGTTTATTACATATCAATTTGTTAAAAAACAAAGCTAAGTAAAATTCAAAAATCTGATTGGCTTTATTCAATGATCCATGAATTGGGCAGCATCCCATCTAGCAAATAGGAAGAAGCGCTGAAGAGCTGTGTAAGATGAAAGACTTGTAGGCTGAAGAGGTTGGGGCAAGGAAGTTACTAGCCATCTCCTTTCTGCTTCCTGCTGTGATCTCGGGGATAACCGAACTTCAAACAAGCAAAGAGTGGATTGTTTCAGGCAAGGTCACCTTCCTTGGGGGAAAACAGTGGTTTATCAGGTGGATTGCCTTACTAGTATTGACTAGTACAGACTGACTCCATGAGATTACATTCCTGGGAGAGGTTGAAGCCACAATTAGGTTAGATATTAAGTCTCAGTTGGGTGATGTTAT